GCTGTTTGATTGTATCTGAGGGAACTTGAAGCTGTCCTGAAGTAATGCCTTTCTAGTGCTTTCCTTTATATATTCATTTTGAACAAAGAGGGGAAAAGGGCTGTCGTGGAGCAGGATGTCTCCGTGCATGGAGATGCTGAGTCTTTTTGTGGCTGTGAGTGAGATTTCTCCGCTGCATCCCCTGCCTGCAGAGAGGAGAAGGGACCTGCAAAGCTCCTGGAAGACCAACAGCTGATCCTGCCTAGAGCAGAGTCCTTGGAGGGAGATGAGGGGAACCCTTAGAGGAAGGAACTCTCCTAACCAGGGGATGAGAAGACTTCCAGAAGAGCTGGATTAGAAGTGCTGAAGTTGGCTGACCACGCACAGATGAGAGTGCTGGGTTGAAGCTTTGGCACATGCCGTCTGAACCTGTCAAGAGCCATTTCAGTGGAGGAAGGAAGCAGGAATAGATTCAACAGTGTCTCCAGTGAGCCTGGAGGAGGAGAACTCCAGATCTTGCAAGCAGTTCCCAGGGATCCTAGAAATGAAGAGGTAGGAGATGGAGGAAACAGAGTGGGCAGTACTAGAGCGGGCAAAACTGGAGGAAAAAATAGATTTGGTCTCTTTTCAGTTAGTAGAAATTTAAATGTGCACAACACAATAAGGAAAGGAAAATAAAAACAGGAACAAAAGAAAAGAATATGAGTGAACACAAGACAGGGTTGATTTGCGGATCACTGGAGAAGCTAAAGGGAAAAGGAGATAGCCATTTGTTTCCATGATGTAAAAGTGGAGTCTTACTGGAGAATAGTAAGATCATGTTATGCATTGCCAGTCTGGAAACTATAAGAAGGATCAATTAAAAAAAAAAAAAAAAGGGGAAAAAAGTATTTGGGGAGCAGCAGTTCTGTGCCCTTGTACAAAGGAGATGAGAAACTACTTTTTGATGCAGTTGCTTCTCAGCACAACCTGCCATTTGGCGATGGAGCAGATATTGAGTCCACTGAAAACACATGCAAAGACTCTAGCTGATGTCAGTATATTGGATCAGGTTATATCTGATTAGAGATCACTTTTCCCTTGGCTGTGTTTTCACTCGCTTGCTCTAATGCATTTGGGAGAGATACGATATGAAAAACACAAATGAAAATGTATCTTGCGAGAATGTGTCAAGAGATAATAGCTGGGAATAGAGCTCAAATGTGCGTCTCTGGATTTAGCAGTTTCCACTGCTGGTCTCACATTTGGGTAGTGGGATCTGTGCTTTGTGTTTCAAAGCGTATAAGGATGATGGTTGTTGCTGGATGAACCTTTCCATGCCAAATTGGTGGTGTGGGCTGTGTAGATACCAAAGCCTGGATAAGCATCAGGAGAAATTTGGCTCAAATGGTTCCCTACTAAGCCCTACTTAATTCAAGCAGTTCCTGAGTGTATTAGAAGGAAGATAGCGCAGCAGGCTCAGACCAGCGTTTCCCTTCTCCGTTCCGTGGCAAGAGAAACTGCTAAAGCCAAAGCCGGCTTTATCTGCACACCAAATTTGGGAGCACCTGTAGCCTTTTGCCGGGGTGAAAGCAGYTGTTCCCCCTGCTCTGCGTCCGGGCTTGTGGCAAGGGACATGCGGAGCTTTGTGCTTCCAGGGAAAAATTCCCAAAGGCTGGAATCTGCTGTTGGCTTCGCTCGTCCCTTCGCGAGGGCAGGGATGGGGCTGTGCTGTGGGGCTGCGGGGCTCCCGGGGAGACCTCCGATCCCGGGAACGTGGCCGCACGTCCTCCCTCGCGCAGCCGGTGCCACCAGCACGTAGTCATCCGCCCGCCCACGGGGCGCCCCAGGAAGGAAGCGGCCGCCTCGCAAAGTCAGGAATTAAGGAAGAAAAAAGCAGCCTCGCATTGTACCAATTCGTCCCAGACTGGAGGAATCCTTTGCCCCGTGACTCATGCTGAGCTGGCCGCTCCATCCGGCAGCCGCCGTGTCAGGCAGCCACCCACTTGTAGCTGGGTGCCGGCTCCGCCACCGCTGGCACGGGCGCCCACAGCGCTTCAGGATTCTTTTGTTAGTCAGGGCACTGGCACTTCCGTTGGCATGTGTGGGTCTCCAGGAAGGCTTGTGCGCGAGGAGGGTGGTGTTTTTATTATTTGGTTCGTTTGTACACTTGGAAGCTGCCGCTTTGATTCAGCTGCTTTCCTCGCTCTCCGTTTCCTGTAGGGTCCAGCCTCTGTTTGCTGACGATTAGCCAGCCCGGCTGCTCTGGCCATGAAGATGTCTCGGATCAATCCTCTGCTGTCTGGCTTTCCAGGAAGAGCGCGGCCCCTCCCCGCTCGCTCCGCAGCCCCTGTCATCCCACGTTGAGATTTATCAGAGCCGCTGGGAGCAGGAAATTAGCTCCTTTACAACTTGTACTCCGCTGCTTCTCATTCGTTTTATTGTTTTAACGTTTTCCAGAAAATAAGGCAGAAAACAAACCTATTTCCTCTTTCGAAAGTCCTGCTGTTAACCTGTGAAGTGCTTATTTCGCCAGCAAGACGTTTCTTATCTTTACAGCAGCATCACGAGATTAAAACACAGTTAAAGTTGAGCTGAGAACAAGAGTAAAGCACTTAAAACTCATTTAGTCATCCTTAGCATCCTAGAGACAGGAATTTCTACATGCAGGCATCAAAGCTGCCATGAATACCCAGGGAGGGACTGGCTGGGGATGARTGGCATGAAGGTGCTGCCCACACACCGTGCAAGGCACCTGTGAGGAGCTTATGTGGTGGTTGGGGTCTTCAGCACTTGCAGTTAACTGAGGTGACTTTTCAGAAGGGCTGAGCACCTGATAATTCCTCTGGTAGAAAGCAGGCACCTTCAAAAGTAAAGTTCAGGTAACAGGAAAGGRCTTATTTTATATCCAACTTCAAATGTGGATATATTCATGTGTTCTGTGTTTCTTTCCAACGGCAGCATTAGAAGATTTTTTTTGAGATATATAGAAGGAAGACACTCTCCTAATTAATATCAGACACTTTTGGTGTTTTCCAGTGTTAAAAATAAAACCCCGTGTTTGCCAGAAGTAAATTTGGCAGTTGTATGCTCCCTGCTGCAGGAAAACAATGTCTCTCTTTAGAGCTGAGAACCCAGCTTTGGCAAAGGAATGAGGCCCAATGTCCATTGATCTCAATGGAAAACCTATTATTAGAAGGATCCCTCTGACCACATCCTGCCATCATTTTGTACTGAGAACCACCACTGAGGTCAGCAGGATTTTTGTGCAAATATTTATGGCAGGATATGGCCCACTTCAGTGTGTTCTGAGGAGTGAGGAGCCTTCAACTGAATTGTTCCTTCTTCGTGTTGATCCTATCAGCCCGCTAAAATCTGATCCAGGAGCAATGCAAAATCCCAGCGTCTAAGTTAGTTTTGACTGAAACCAAGTAACTTGGTTGGTGCTATTTAACTCAGGCATGAGGCAGCACTCGGTGTTGCACAACAGCCCAACTGATTGTGTTGTGCCTTGGACACCGGGTCGGTTGTGTCCTTTAAACTTCTCCAGAAAACAGCAAGTAAGTGGCCACTGTTTTAGATGGAYCTGTGACTTTAGCAAGTGAAACTGTTGTTCATTGAGTAACTCAAGTTTTCTGCTTTTAGCAAATGCTTTGCATATGTGACTAGTGCAGCTAATTTCCTGCTTGCCAAGTTCAGTTCTATCAGCAYTTATTGGAACCACTAGCTCAGATAATAAAAAGGACACTTTCTCCTTTATCCTTTTGATAGGGGAAAAAATGAATTCTTTTCAGCTTATTGTACATCTGTGTTTTCACTGGACAGCAAAAGACTGTCACTGACTCACTGTTTGATCTTGGGTAAATCACCTAATCCTGGTCTAGTCCAGTACTCTCATGTGTATAAATAATATAATGATTCTCATGTGTCTTTACAAGCTATTAGAATAACTTAGTTTTTAAATAATTTTGGTTTCACTTTAGTCTTTTCAAGAAGGCTTTATTCATGGAAAAGAAGTAGACATGTATCCAAGTAGAAGCTAAAAGACCTTTCCATCTCTGGGTGCTAAAATCATCACTCTTCAGAGGTTGTTATCATTTGTGTGAATAACAGCATTTTAGTTAATGTCAATGTTTCTCGAACCTGTATAGCCAGGTATTAACTTTCTGCACATTCAACACTAAGAAATTACTGTGATAAAATGATAAGCTGGCATTTTCAGCAGCAGCAATGGAAACTCAAAAGGCGTATTTGAAGGTGAGGACATCCTTGTGCTATGAACCAGTTACACACTTCCAAGGTCTGTTGAAAAATTCCTCTTGAAATGTGAACCAGGCACAACAGTGAATTGATGTTTCCCTGAAAGTCATGCTATTGCCGTGTTTATATGAAGGGTGCATTTTACATTGCAGCCTACATATTATAGAACTTTAAAAGCTTAACCGTTTCTCTATGTATCAACACCTGCAAGGAAAGAAAGGAAGGTACCTGAAAATATAAATGGGCCGTTCTATAATAGCGTGCCTCAAGTCCAGTGTGAGCTGCAGACTGTAATCTCTATACCATAACCTGCATCTTTGAGACCCAGGCCTCATMTGAGCTACATACCTAAAGGAAATTTTACTCCAATAGGAACTGAGTAGCATAGGTAATAATGAAGAAAGAGTTGCATATTCTTTCCTACTTTTTTKCTCTTGCCTTGCTAATAGCAGAACTTTCAAAGGAAATTTATTAGTTTAAAAGAAGCTGGTCTCTTGGCAACTTTCCTCATTTTGAGATAAAACTTCTGGAGGAAAAAGAGGACAGGAAATGAGGATCTGATAGCACAGGAGATGAGTGGTATTCCCGGTAAGGGCACTTATGCATGTGTGAGAGATTCAGGTCTCTGCMTTGAGTTTTGCCTGATTTCTGTCTTTGGCGTTTGTGATATTCTTTTTTTCTCCTGTCCCATTTTTCAACTTGAGGTTTTTATCCCACTACAAGCATAAAACTAAATACCAAAACCTCAAAAATCTTTGTAAAATGGCATTCTTGTTTTCCAGCCAGTGCTAGACCAGAACAGACATATATTTGCAGAGGATGCTGGAAAGAGAAGTTTCYTCTTAAACAGGAAAAGTGCAAAACCTGCAGCTGCACCTCGGAGGAGATGTCTGGCTCCCCCGCAGAGCTCTGGGAAGCAGCAACCGTCATGTAAGTAATAAGAACACTAATGCAGACAGCTCTGTGATTTGTGCTGAATCGGGACTCAGCCTAGGTCCAGTTCTGGCTTGTCCAAAGATTTCATACTTAATCTCGGGCAATTTATTTAATCTCTCTGTGCTTCAGCTTCCTATCCTGAGAGTTTGTCTGCATGAGCCATCAGCAAACTGCTTTAAGATGTGATATTAGTTTAGTACAACCTGTTAAGCAAGTGAATCATTTTAATAGCTTAAGCTATTTAGAAAAGGCTTTAAATTAACCTAAAGCAGATAATGGTCAATTTACGGTGTTCAGTGCAGGTGTAGCTAAAGATGTGATCAAGTCAAGACAGTGAAGTTGAAGGGTCTATGAGTATGTGGTTTTTGAATCTGGAAAAGATGTTTCTCTCAACTTTGTCTGGAGGGACAGAAATGATCCTTGCCCCTGCAAAGGCAATCCCAGAGTTGTGGCTGTAGCAACAATTCCATTAGTGGGAGCCTTTATCTATGGAGATCCACTTCTCCAAAAACTCTGTATCAGTTTGGAAGTCAGACGCAGACGTCAGGAAAAGCATGAAGCCTTATAATTGAGGTTTTTTAACAAGAATGTAATAGAAAGTGAAGGAAATAGAGATACTTCAGCATTTTCATAATTGCAGAGGCTAATCAGGTAGGAGGCTTCAAAAATCAGTGTTGTTTTGTAGCCCTTTGAGTGAAAACGTTCAAGTTGAGTCTGCAAAAGAAGCCACATCATTGAAAGAGGGAATCCTGGCTGCTTCCTCYAATTGTCTTGTCTTACTGTCTGCTCTGTCACTGGTGTTCCTTTTTGTGGAAATTAACACCATRGTTTTTGTTCCCAGGAATAATAATAGCAGTAATAGAAAATAACTCCTTTGCCAATCGTTTTGGAAAGTGCATATGGAAATCTTTAGGAGTGAGAATAGCTGCAATGGGTGATAGTTGCTAGTAGCAATGAAAATGTTTGGCTTAAGGTATTTAAAAAAAAAAAAAAAAAAGCATGTGTCAGACACTCAGAAATTTTGTCTGGATGGATATAAGCAGAGACTGGGTGTGTGAAAGTGTTGGATGTTTGAGGCACTCGCAATGTCCCCTCTATCCTTCTAAGTCCTGACCTGCCTTTGCAAAGTTCTCCTTACCACAGGCAGTAAGTGTTCTTTAATGCAAGTCAAACACTCCAAATGAGGAAAGAAAGAGAAATTAGTCTGAACAGGAAGCTTCAAATATTCTAAGACTAATTGAGTTTAGATAATTAAGGGGTTTTAGAGCAGTAATTCAGAGGAGAAGGGGAGGGGAGGACAGTTTAATTGAGATTGCCTGTCCATCTGTGAAGRCTCTGTGCAGCCTTCTGTGGCATGTCCTGCTTGTCATTCCTCCTGACCTGAAGGAGCTGATGGGGTTTGYAGTGACCTTATTAGCTAGTGGCACTGCAGGCTGGCCACCCGTTTTATAGCTGCCCATGTCCTGCCTTGGGTSGAAAGCCGCGTGGTGGCTTCTGTGTCCTCCATGGCCGGAGGTGCCCTCCTGGACACATGCGCCCTTTGAGACCCGYGAGGACACTCTAGGGTCAAGGCAGGTGCTGGGGGGACGAGGATCAGGGTTTCGGTGCTGCTGTGTGGGGCAGTGGAGGCTGRTGGCAGATCTAGGCTCGCTGGAGCCACGTCTTCATCTCTGCTTTAGTAAGGCCACCAAAATCCGAGTGAGAAGGCCAAGCTCTGCTGCCTGAAGCAGGGTGCTGGTTCGAGCACGGCTGATCCTGTCATGGAGGGGAGATGGCGGCCGAGCCTCAGCACTTTCTGGGGGAAAAGCTTCCTGGTAGCTTTGCACTGGTTACCGTTAAGAAAACAACTCTTTAAAAGGATGTTATTGTCTATTCTGCACGTTGGGAGCAAACGCCTAGGCTGGCTGCATGGCAGGGCTGCGGGTGCTCTCCTGCTCCATGACTCCCTGCTCCAGAGACAGCCKAGTCCTGGGTCGCGGCCAGGCCTCAGCCCCTGTGTTCAGGGGAGCGGTGCAGAGCAGCCACAGCGCGACACTGTGACCAGCTGGGACCTGGGGGGTGCAGGAGCGAGGCCGTCCCGCGGCACCAGGACGCAGCAGGGAGCAGGGTCAGAGCTGCGCAGTGAGGGAGCACTGGTGCTCGCAACTGGGTTCTGGTTGGCGTTGCATACATGAGGTAAGACATGGGCTGTGTCCTGATGGAATGGCCCTTTCTAGGCTTTGTTTGCACTGCATTCAAGGGGCATGAGTTGTGATTTGATATCAACTGGCATCTGGACACACCAGGAACTGGGCCAGCCCATCACCACCACTGGAGCTGAAAGGGGATTGTCAGGGCTGTCTCCTCCTGCCCTTCCACAAGTGTTTAAATGGAGGAGCTGCCACTAAACACGGGACCTTTTTCTACCAAGCAGCCTCGTTGTGCCAGAAAGCCACAAGGAAAGGCACTCAGAGGGGCTTTCATGTGGCAAGCAGGACCRATGCCGGGCAGTGTCCGGCTGTCATCAGGTATTTTCCTGGTGACTGTCATCACGGCTGTTCCCCTGGGGCTATTCGGATATGGCAGAGTTGAATAAATAATCAAAGAGGATGTTTCTAGCTGCTAATTTTCAGTCGGATTTCATGTCGGTCCAAGATTTAACATTTCCTTTCTCTGCCAACCGCATACTAAAAATAACATATTTTCAGGATATTGGAGACCACTCGAAATCTGTGGTGTTTGGCACTTRAATATTCCCTTTCATCTGGAGATCTCAAAGCAAAAAGTTGGAGCTTCACGGCTTCTACTTAAAGTTGGAGGAACAAGTCTATTTAAGATGCCCTCAATGGATGTGGTGGGGTTTCCTTTACAGAGAGGACAGTCACCCCAGAGGAAGGCAGCAGTCCCCAAAGGCTGAGGAAGAGTTGAACAAGGTCCTTACTGGCCTTTTTCCCCTTAAACAGGGCTTTGAACTGGCTTTCAGTGAGCAGCTTGCTAATGGGTAGTTCTGGCATGGGGAATTGTATTTTGACAGAGTTATTTTTCTCCCCTTTCTGTACTTTATTTTTCTCCTTGGTCTCAGTCTTCAGTAACATAGAGATGGAAGCAACTAAAGGAAAGCACAAGTACTGTTACAAGTACAAGCACTGTACTGAAGAATAGCAGAAATGTTGTAGTGTTTTTGCAGATTTATTGTAATGTCACCAAGAGTCAGGAGAGCTCCCCGCGTGCTTTGCAGCCTTACCTACCCTGGTGTCACATATTGCATGGGGTTTTGGAGGCCTTGGAACAGCAGCTGTTTTTTCCTCTTCTGGGAAAATAGCACATAGGTGGTGGGATTCAGACAAAGGTTGTGAAGTGCTTAYAGAACTTAACTCCAGACTGACTGAAAAGGAGCATTAAGAATTAGACCTGCGTTTCCCTAAGGGAACTGGGTCTATCTGAGTTCTCTCTAGTAGCTGAGCACATTTCTCCTAACACTAACCACAGAGCCTCTTCCCTCCTGAGCTGAAGGAGGACTAATGATGTCTTGTGTTTGATAGTTTGATTGCTCTGCTCGTTTGGGTAATTTGCTTAAGCCTTCTAAAGCAACTGTAATTTAATCAAACTGGCAGTGATAGTTGTTTGCCTGCCATTTGTCCCCTCGCAGCAGAGTACATGGCCACCCATCCCGGCCACGAGCAGCYACACGGAGCTGGGCAGCTTCTGCTGGGGACTTGTGTCTAGCAGCCCACGCGTGTGAGCTCAGGGTTTCTGCTGTGGAACCTCTCCAAAAAGCAGTGGGCACAGGCTGATGGCCACACAATAACTCACATGCTCTTCATAAATATGAGGCAAAGCATAAGAGGATCTGATTGCCTTTGAGAAGATAGGAGAGCAAGACATGTTCTGCCCTTCAGAGGTGACCTGGCCCATCCATCATCCTGTCCTTGTGCAGCATTACTTGTTTCCCTCGGGGTGCTTTGAATCATCTGAACTTGCACTGGATCTTAGGGCCTTGGTCCTCTTCACAGCCATTAACTCTAATGGGAGGTGGGTCASTTACCACCACTGCGCTGGTTGCCAGAGGTGGGAATGGGGAGGAGGTTTCTTTGTCTTTTTGATGTTGGTAAYGGTGGCAGAGATGAGTAGGAAAAAGCTCCTTACTGTGAGCGAGTGTCAGGTGTTTATTTGGAGTAAAGAGTGAAGTCACCTGCCTGATGAGAGATTTAAATGCTAGGGAGATGTCAAAACTGCCCACAGCTCTTTGATCTGCCAGATCTCACAGAAGTTAAATTTCCACTGTGCTTGATGGAGCCTGGTTTTGGTATGTTGTAGCAGGATGGCTGTATCTGCCTGCACGCTGCAGCAGTGTGTTAGCTTCCCCTTGCCTTAGCTGGCCCCATCCTGACAGAGGTGAAGGAGCGCAGGTGGGTAGTAGAACACTCTTTCTTTTTCCTGTATTAATGATAAAGGTGCAAGCACTGGGTCTGCTTAGAGATATTTCATGCCTGGCTGTTGCATCATGCTTAGTGACCTTCAAACTCTTGCCTGTGTGGCGACTGTGGAGACCTTTTGATTTACAGCCCAGCTATTTAAGTGCTTGTACACCTTGGCAAGGGCCAGATTACCGTTTCAGTTCAAGTCTGCGGGTGATGAGTGAAGAGACACACTTTGCACTCCTGTCGCGCTGCTGAAAGATTTATTTATTTTTGAATGTTATGGGTTTCATTTGAAGTAAAAAATGCTTTTTTTTTTTTTTTTTTTTTTTTGCCTAAACAAGAAAAAGGCCTTGGTGAAATATTTCTTTGTGTGTTGCTTTACTTCTTAAGCTTCTTGGTAGTTGCTTCCCCAAAGAATCTCTGTTCCAGCTTTTTTTCCAGTTCCTGATTGTTCTGGGCCTTTCTCTCCACGTTAGTCATTTCTGACCCTCTCTTGGGTTTCTTCCAGTACCCTTCTCTTCATCTCCACTTACAAAAAAAAATCCCTTGCGTCTTTGCTCTCTTTTCCCTTGGCAGGAGACAAAAGGGAGGCTCTCTGTGGAAAAGCARCCACTTGGAAACCCGTAAGCACCCGGGGAGGCCACGAGAACCAGACACGCTCTGCAGCAARGGATGCCCTGTCTGGCAAAGGGATGCAGAGAAAAGGACATTTTGGGGCTGGTGGAGCAGCAGTGAGAGACGAGGAAGTTGTKGGGAGCAGGATCCCCCCCAGCCTCTCTGGCCTGTCGACCTGCGARCAAGCAGGTGCCTGTCGTTGGATTGCAGTGAATATTGCACAAGAGGCTGTAGGCTGGTGGAAAGACTCCAGGGAGCCAGCTTCAGCCTACGGACAGTAGGTTTAACTCCCTTCGTCTAGACGCTCTCCCAGGGATTACATCAGCAATAATTTGTCAGTGGCATGGCTAGTATTTACTAGTGTGGGGAGAGCCTCCTTATACTCTCCCATGCTCTGTCGTAGAGGACTCACTTCTAGCAGAGAGGCTGCCGAGGCCACAACTCCCATGTTTATTATTCTGTTAGTGCTACTAATGATTAGCAGAAGCAAAGGTGTCTGCACGTCTCCCTGAGAGGCAAGGAGAACATCCTCCACGTGTTTTGAGAATCTCCACTGTCAGCTGATGACTTAAGAGCCTCAACTATTTTAATATGAATTGTACTTATGCAAATACATACATCGGGTTTGGAAATATAGCTTGTGCGTACATTGCTGTCACATTAGGAAATCATTCCTTCGGTCTCAAAACCACTGATGAGGTGAATGTTGTAATTCTATTTCCAGTTTCTAGATAATAGGCCGACGACTTTTAGATACAATAACTTGGCCAAACTCACTTGCTGTGCCTCAGGAATATCCACTGTGCCTGACTTAAAGCACTAATTTAGCTACCTGACATAAGAGGGCACTGTCTCTAGCCTCCCAGGATAGTAAAAGGAGAGAGGTGACTCTGAGTTCCCTTTTGCAGAAGTCTTTCCAGTAAACTTGTGTTCTGAATAACCTTCTGGAAGGGTTTGCCTTTTCCTACAGACTGTATAGAAGACCTGGATTACATTAGAATAGAAGTTTAAATGTGTGGCATTTTATATTTTATGCCCCTATACCCTACCCTCTAACAACATTATCTTGAATTTTCATCATGCAGAGAGAAGGTGATTGAACAATTGTCTCTGTTAAGGATCTGAAACGAAATAACTGAAGCCTTAGACATACAGACATCTCAGAGGATGTTTACTTAGTTCATAATATGCAGTAGAACAGTATGAGTTTTACAAGGATTAGCTTTAATACTCTGGATCCTCCCAATGCCCAAGCATTAAGGGCACTCAATTATACAGCCTGATGGTGGCTGGGAAGAGGGGCCCTGGAGACACCCATGGAAAAATGAATGTTTAACTCAACAGGAAAAATAAATCTTTAGCTCAAGATGGAAATCAAGGGACTCTCGCAAACACCAAGGATCGATGTTGTTTCATTATTAAACTGCTGTGCTGTTGTTCCCATGGAAGCAAAGAAACAAATATTTAGAGCTGTGCAACACCTTCCACCAGAAATCCAGCTACGGCTCTTTTGGAAAGTGTTCCTGTCAAGGAGAGCCCTCCTGCTTCCTCAATGAAGCCTTTGTGTCCTGCCTTGGACTCCCTCCTGCACAGGCTACAAGGTGAAACTCTAYGCTCAACTTCGTAAACGTTGCTTGTCTTTACAATTCTTTAAAAGGAATTAATTACCTTAAGAGGCCTTTCCATGGTGCAGATGCTAAGTTTGAGTCTTCAAGAATGTCCCAAATCACATTTGTGACAGCAGTGGCATTGGGTCRTTTGGTGTTGAGGGTTTTATTTTGTTTTTATCCATAATTTTCTACAGATCTACTCTAGCAACTTGCCAAGTGATTTCACCTTGAACCCAGCATGATCTCTTCAGAGATGGAAGAAAAAAGCCTGAACTAAAAGGGATATTTTGGCCAAAAAATATATTTACCTTACTAAGATAATATGATCCATCTCTCCATTACCAGTGGGAAGAGATTTTTTTCTTTTTCTTTTTTTTTTTTTTCTGTGCTGCCAGATATCTCTTACCTGAGGCACCCCATCTGTTTAGATTTGCAGTTCTGGTTGAGGGGAGGAAATCTGATCAAACGGAGCAGGTGCTTTGCCCACCCGCCTTCTTTTTTTTTTTTTTTTTTAATTAAAATGGTGCTATTGTCTTCTCCTTGTCTGCACACTCACTTTCACCTGCAGAGCAACCACTACATTTTAACCATTTAGCTGCCAGAAAATTGCCTGATTCCCATGTTTTCCAAACAAGTTTTGGCTGAACACATACTGTAATACGTGGACTGTGCTTTTCTATGTTGGATTTTTCAGTGAACATAAGGTCAAAACTCCAAGGAAGTATCTCACCAGTGTGAAAAACCTCATAGATTTCAGTCCTAGTGTGGAAAAGAATCTGTGATGTCCAGTTAAGGGCAAGCCCATCTAACAGCCTTTCGCTTGCTGGCAGCACTGATCACCTTTTGCTGGGGTACCCCCCTACCTCTTCTCATACAATTCCTAGAAATTCAATATTCTAGAAGTCTCTTTTGYTCTGTGCCATTTGTTTGAAATCAGATAGTGGCTTCAAAAGTTATTAGGGCGGGGCGGGGGGACAGATACGTTTACAAAATGCTTTTGCACATTAGGCTAAAACATAAATTTCTGACATGTGAGGAGATGTGACACCTTGGATCCTCCGTATAAAGTTGTGCAATTCATGCTTGAGGTACAATTTATTCCGTTGCATCTACTTTGTGTGATAGCACTYGCACAGAGATGCTGAGCCCCCCCAGAGGTGGGATAAAACAAGCACAGTTGCCTAAAATTGTCTAAATTCTAATGTAAGTTCTCTCATATTTCCCTCCCTAATGTACGTTGACRTTATAGTCCAAAAGCTGCTCAGAGTTGTAAGGTTTAAATTGTAACCAGCTCTAAAAATCATCCTTTTCAAATTATAGGCAGGCTTGAATATACCAGCATGGGAAAACCTTCCTTTGCTGAAGGGCAATGCCTTTGGGGGACCACACACTGCAAAACCTTTCCCTATTATCAAATAACAACTCGGAACCCCTCGGCCATATGTTAGTTGAACCCAAGGCAGAGGGCAGATCTGGCGCGAGGCTCACAGCCCCTGGAATATATCCTCACTGGCAGAATGCACTTCAATGAGGGACTGGGACATAGTGCTTTTTATTTCTAAAATCCTGCTTAAGATAATCATCATAGCGCAGAGCAGAAGGAAAGCTGTGGCCTGGGCTGGTGGTTGTCTGCGTGTCGCAGTCTCAAAGGAGGAGGTAATTCAAGAAGTGTCACTATGAAAGGGAGAAGTAGCTTTTGTTCTCGAGCCCCAGCACTGTCGTGATTGAGGCCACATGTTCCTTTACGGTCCCTAATCAGGTTGAGGCTGATTCCTATTTAGCTCCTTTCAACCACTGTTATTCCAGCTTTATGCTATTGGAAATCCATTCATTCTCATCAGGTTATACTGGAGCGCCTGTGCAGTGTGTCAGGCTCTAAGTACCCATATACTGATATTCTTTCTAACGTATTTTTGTTGCCTTACGCTGAGTAATATTTTTCTATGTAATGATTCACAGTAAACGTGCCTGAGGCGCTGGCTCAGGCTGGAAGGTTATGCAGCAGAGCTACAGTACTTCAAAATGTCTCGTTTAGTTTTAAAGAGAGGCCTGAAAGGCTCGTTTTCCTGTGTCAAAAATAATCGATGCGTTCAGGATGTTTTGCAGCATGGTGGAAGAAAACCCATTGTCTTTAACGGAGATGGTGCAAAAAGTCAGAAATTCTCCCAGTTGAGAAGTCTCATGGAATTGCAGAGCTGCTGGGTTTGAGTATAAGGGGAGGCTCCCTTGGTTTAGCAGATGGTTTTGTGTTTAGATTTTCCATTATTGCTTATTTTTCTGGAGAACTGTATTTTTATATGAAAGGCCAGTTTTTATACGGAAGCGCAGTTAGTTCCCACTTGAGCATGTCCAGCAGCGGACAGAACTTTCTTCTGTGCTGACCACATAACATATTTATCAAATGCCAGTAATTAGATTTATAGAATTAAAAAATAGCAAGTCTAACAGTGAGCATGTTTGTGTAGGCCATAGGAGAACTGAATTCTAGTCCCCTTTTCCCTTCCATGCTCCCAGGAATTGTCTTAATCACTACATTTTGGGCTGGGGTTCAACTAGGAGGGGTACTGGGGCTGTAGTGCAGAGGATCCCAGACTGCCTGCTTGGGAGGCTGCTCTAGATGCCCTTTCTGGGTACGTTTTTATTCAGGGGCAAGGAGCCGACATGTTGGTTGTTTGCTCGACTGGCTTTAAAAGATGGATTTGTCTGCCAAGCAGTTTTCCCCCAAGTCTTCATGGGATTAATACGAACCAAAATAACGCGCTCTGCAATTGCTTTATTAAACCCAGCAGGACTGTGTCTCAGCCAATGCATTTGTGTTTAAACCAGCGAACTAACGATCAAATCCACAGCTGCTAATTGCAGCCGTACGCGGTGCGGTGAACTTGCTGCAGATGCCTCACTGCCCCGTTAGTGTCCAGCTTAGGCAAAAAAAGTCATTGGTCACTTACCCCTGTGTTTGTGAGTCTCAGCCTGACGTAACCAATGTGTATTTGTCAAGTGAGGCAGGCACTGGAATTTATCCTCTTTTTCTTTGGTTAACGTCTTGATTTTGAACTTGTCGTTGGCTACAGAATTCTCAAAACTCAACCATGTTGTTTTTAGGAAAAGCCAGAGTTGCCATGGAGTAGTAAAAAAGATTATTTCTCCTCCAGCCTGAGTTACTCACTTAGCAACAGTCCTAGTCCCAGATTGTATCTACTCAGCCCAAACTGATGCTTGTGTGTTGTTTTTGCCCATTAAAGAACTTGGAAATATCTTTATGCTTTTGTGGATGCTATTGTGATAAACTCATGTTTATACATGAATGCAATATCTACTGAGATGGTCAATTATATATATTTTTTTTTCTATTTTATTGATTTATTTACAAATCAAAGATATTTTTGATATGTTCCATGAACAAGGGAAGATTTTTTAGGAGCAACAGCCCTTTCCTTTTAAGTTCTATGTTTTCAGATGTGCCTACAGTTTTTCTTTGGTTTTCTGTGATGCTTCTGGTCAAATGGTTGTGCTCAGTGGATATTGCCGTGACTGGAGCCAACTCTCTGTTCAAGGTTAATGAGCAAAGATGCAGTGAGCTTTGCTGAGTTGCACCAGCTCAGAAACGAGCCTGTTCTGCTTAAATAAATAGCGAGCTTGGGAGACAACAATTTCTTTGGTTGGACAGGTCTCCATGTATGGTGTATCTTATTCTGACTGTAATCTGGTGGTGCTGCATTGTCTCCAAAGTGCAGGCTGGGGAAAAGTGCTGGTGTGTAGGAGGAGATGGGATTTTCAGAGGGAGTTCCGGGAACTCTGGAAAGCCGCACACCTGCAGAGGGATCAAAACCGCCCTGCAGTTACCAAGAAGAAGATACAGCGTAAGCCGTGATCTCTGTACTGAGATACCTGCTCCTCAGACRTTAAGGGCTTTTGAGGCTTCAGGTCTTTGTACAGCACCGGAGCCCTSTCTCTGACTGGCACTTCTGGGTGCTGCTCCCTTCTAAAAAGTAGAAACTTCGGAGCAAAACACTGGGAGCACCAAACGTGAGCTCCCTCTGCATTAGTGGCATCACAAGAAACAGGAACCCAGGAACGTGATTGACAGTCTATCATTGAAACCACTGAAACCTTAAAGGTCCAATTAAAGCCTCGTAAAAAGTAATTCAGTGGTGTTTGCATATGTAAAATAAAAAGCTTTCATAGCTCAGCTTTATGAGCATGTATGGACTCTACGAATTCTGAAAACTTTCGTGTATTTTTATGAATGTCATGAACCCAAAATTATTTAGCAAATTTTGCCACTTTTTTTTTCTGTCCAGGCTTTCACCATTGCTTACAGCCCAAACCACAAATAAAGCATTAAAATTATTGATGTGAGCTAAGCAGGRGAGCTACTGCCAAAAATAGCAGTATTCACTCAGGCTCATTCTGTGTAGCTCTGGAAAAATTATTCCCAAGCTACAGCAAAGATCACATTTTTTCCTTTCTTCACTAATAGCAAAAATATTACCTTTCAAGTGGTCTGTTACTCCTGCGGCTGGGGGATAAGCAGGTTGGATGGGGTTTAAGGTAGCTAAATGAGCCAGGCTTGCCGATCTAGCCTCCTGCTAGTACAGTGAATGATTTATTGAGCTTTTCTCTCCGGGTGCCTTCTCACTCCCTATTTTTGCCTTCCAGATGATGGCAAAATGAAGCAAATGGGCAATTGAAACCCCTTATTTGACCCAACTGAGCTCCAGGAGCATTGCTCTTTGTTCTTTCCACTTTAACGAAGTGCATGGGAGCAGCTTTAATCCATGCTTGGGCTCTCAGGTAGTATATTTAGAATAGGTGCTCACAGTCCTGCTTTGTCATGACCAAAAAGATCTCTTAATGCAAGAAGAAATAGGGAAACCCTGACAATACAGGTGGATATACATGTGAGACTTGTTTTGTGCAGTGCATCTAAGTCCTCCCAGTTTTGCTTGCCTTTATTCAAGCTACAGGGGCCAAAAAAAAAATGCTTTGCTCCTTCTTTTTTCTTTGCTCTTTTTCTTTTTTTCTTTGCTCTGGGCCATACAGTCAGTGCAGTTAGTTCAAATGTTTATGTTTTCAGGGCAGATCCTCTGCTCCTGAACTGCCCAGTGAGGGCCACAGTGCTAATGTACATTAAACATCATGTCTGTGGGGAACCTTAGGGAATTAACACCTAGCAGCTCCTCGAAAGCCACCTTGAAGCATCTCAGGGAGTGCAAAGGGGGTCTGTGCTGAGAGAGCCCTCARTCTTCTTGGAGGAGGAAATTGGGAGCTTCAAGAGGGAAGTGGAGTTTCCAAAGAAATACTAAGCTATCCAGTAATATGATCAGAAAGTAGATGGGAAGTTTGAAAGTGTATTTTCTGTAAA